TTACCATAACAGTTACCATTACCATTACCACTACCATTAGCATTACCATTACCATTACCATTGCCACTACCATTACCAATACCATTACCATTACCATTTCTATTCCTTTAACGATTACCATTACAACTATCATTACCATTACCATTACCATAACCAAAACACTCTAATTACTATTACCATTACCATTACCATTACCATTACCATTACAACTACCATTACCATTACCATTATCATTACCATTACCATTATCATTACCATTACCATTACCATTCCCCTTTACCATTACCATTACCATTACGATTACCATTACCACTACCATTACCATTACCAATACCATTACCATTACCACTATGATTACCATTACCATTACCATTACCATTATCATTACGATTATCATTACAACTACCATTACCGTTACCATCCATTACTCAAACCATTACCACTACCGATCCATTACCATTATGATTACCATTACGATTACCCTCACAACTACCATTACCATTATTATTACCATTATCATTACTATTACCATTACCATTACCACTGTCAGAATGAGGAATGGATGTTGCATTGATGTTGGTTGGGGTACATATGACAAACCCTAACTTCTGTACCCCCTAAGACAAACCTCACTACAGGCTACAACATTTGACACACCCCCATAGCCTAAGTGAGGGGTGTCTAGCAAAAACAAAAAAGAGTACGGTCACAAGACCAGTCCAAAAGAAAACAAAGCTCAGGGTGGATCACAACGTCACCACACACTCTGAGCACAAGCAACAGTGGCCACAAGGCCAGTCCAAGAGATCACAAGTATATATAGTAAGTGTACAGACGAAGCAGGCAATAAACTCAAGTCTACGCATGACTAGAACCTGTGTCAACAAGGCCTAACTGCACACAACACCTCTGGTGGTCACAAGGCGGAAGCGCCTTGGTGAAGATATCTGCAGTGTTGGCCTCGGACTCTACAAACTCGAAGCGAGCCTGTCCACGCCTCTGCAACTCTCGCAGAAGAAAGTACCTGACGTGAATGTGCTTCACTCTGCTCTCCAGTCGCGGCTCACGACAGAGGAGGATCGACGCCTTGTTGTCAGTAAACAAGGTCGGTGCAGAGCTCGGCCGCTCACCAAGGTCGGCGAGCAAGAAGGTCAACCACCGTAACTCCTGTGCCGCCATGGCACCAGCGTAAATCTCAGCCTCAGCTGTAGAGGTCGAGACAGAAGAGGAGCGCGTGGAACGCCAGGAAACAGCTCCAGAACCCAGACTGAAACAGTACCCCTGAGTAGACCTGTGAGTCTCAGCGTCGTCAGCGTAAGAGGAGTCACAGTGACCAGTGAGTACGACAGACTGCTGCCCTCCAAGAACTAGCCCCACGCCTGATGTAGTCGCTAGGTACTTCGCCACCCTCACAGCTGCCGTCCAGTGAACAGGACGGTGTCTCCCTGGCGCAACAAAGCGCGCAAGGATGCTGAGAGGGAAGGCGAGGTCCGGGCGAGTACAAGTCATCAGGTACATGAGGCAACCCACAAGCTCTGCGTAGGGACCACTAGGCTCAAACGGCTCGTCAGGAAAGGGACCAGTGAGTCTGTGGTCAACAGCTAGAGGTGTGCGCTGTACGGTGGAGTGCTGAAGCCCGAACCGCTGAAGGACCTGCTGCACCATGTGTGACTGTGAGAGTGTAATGGTGCGAGCGGCTCTGTCCCTGGTGATCTGCAGGCCAAGGTAGTGGCGCAGCTCACCAAGATCAGTGCACGTGTGTCTCTTCTGCAGTTCGGACTTCACGTCTGCCAAAGCAACCCTGTCCGAAGTGGCGAAAACGAGGTCGTCGACGTAGACCAGAACAAAGAACGGTGTGGAGCCACGACGAACGAACAGCGACGGGTCGGCAGAAGACGGCTGGAACCCAAGGTCAGAGAGGGTAGAACGCAGAGTGTCGTGCCACTCACGAGGGGCCTGGCGAAGACCGTAAACAGGTCGCCTCAGCCTCCACTGGGTCCCAGGAGGGAAGGTGCCAGTGAAGGCCGAGGGACGACGCAACCAGACCTCCTCGTGTAGGCTGCCCTGAAGGAAAGCAGTGGAGAAGTCGAGAGAGTGTAACTCGTAGTCTCTCTGTGCTGCTACGTGTAGTAACACCCGAAGAGTGGTCATCTTCGGGGTAGGTGCGAAGGTCTGAAAGAAGTCAACTCCCTCGCGCTGACTGAAACCTCTAGCCACGTAGCGCGCCTTGAAGACCGGGGGAGATCCCGGTGGCCGCTTCACCCTGTAGATCCACATGCCGTCGACTACGTTCGCCCCAGGGGGGGGAACCTCATCGACGTAGGTGCCTGTGGATCTGTAGGAGGCCATCTCTGCGTCCATGGCAGCTCTCCACTGAGAGGCCCAAGGCCCTGACACTGCCTCAGCGTAAGTGCGAGGAGTCGGAATGTCAAGGGCGTCGGGGTCACCCTCAGGGGCGAGGAGCATGGCACAGAGATGAGGGGAAGCGGCCGCCAGGAACTCTAGCTCAAACTGCCTGTCCTCTAGGGCGTCACAGCCAAGGGCAGACACACCCCCGACGGCCAGAGGACTGGTAGGAGGAGCAGCCACAAGCGTGGTGGCGTAGTCAAGGCGGCGGGTAGAGGCAAAGTCAGTAACTGCGGCAGTAAGAGCGGACACAGAGGACACAGAGGCACGAGGGTGAGTAACAAGAGAGGCGAGAACACGAGAGAGAACAGGACGGTACGTGCGGTAGTAGTCAGTGACAGGAGTAGGGAGCGACACAGTGAGGGCCGACTCAGGAGGAGACGGAAGCACAGACTGAGACGGACGAGGTGGACTAGAAAGAAGGAAGGCAGTACGAAGGTCAGTGAAGGGAACAGGAGACGAGGGACGAGCACGAGGGGAGCGACAAGTAGCCCAAGAACGAGACGGAGGAGGAGAGGACAAAGGCGGAGAACTGGGGAAAACAGCGGGGGAGGAGTCAGGAGGAGGAAACGTGGGACCGTAGACAGGAGGAGAGGCGGAGGAGGGAGGAGAAGGGGAGGGGAGACCAAGGATCCAAAGACCCGAGACAGGAGGAGGAAGTGGCTGCTGCTGCTGCGGCTGCGACTGCTGCTGCTGCGGACGCGGCTGCTGCTGGGACTGCTGCTCCTGCGGGTCCAGCTGCTGCTGCTGCTGCTGCTGCTCCTGCGGCTCCAGCTGCTGCTGCTGCTCCTCCAGCCGCTGTAACTCCCTCTCCTCTCTCTCCAACGCCAGCTGCTCGTCACGGGCACGGCGAACACGAGCCTGGTGCCTAGTCGGGTAGGGGTGGGGGGGTGGAGTAGTGTCCGAAGCAGCGGCAGCTCCAGAGTCCACCTCAGAAGAACTAGGCGCACCACCCCCAGAGGCAGCACTAACACCAGCTCCAGAACCAGGCTCACCTGAACCCGAAGGAGGCGCACCCTCACCCCCAGACGCAGCACCCCCAGTGTCCGCGCGGCCAGCACCAGCTCCCGGACGACAAGAGTCCTCTGCACCCACCGGGTCAGCTCCAACTCCAGAACCAGAAACTCCAGCTCCAACCCCAGCTCCAACTCCAGCACCCCCAGAACCAGAAACTCCAGTGCCAACTCCAGCTCCAACTCCAGCTCCAACTCCAGCACCCCAGAACCAGAAACCGGTACAGGAACAGGCGCCTCACCAACCTCTCGAGAGCTAGCACCAGCGGCACGCTGCGAGGAGGACTGTGGGGAGGGAGGCTGTACCGGAGGGGCTACCGAAGGAGGAGGGGTAGCCTGGGACACACCTGACGGGGCTGGACCAGGGGGGGGAGGCTGTACCGGGGGAGCAGGAGGGGGAACGGCAGTCAGGAAGAGGGGGGGAGGAGGAACCGGGAGACCTCGACTGGGGTACCTGACGTAGTACGGAGTGGACTCCTCGAAACGGACGTCACGGGAGTCAAAGAACCGGTGAGAGGGAGGGTGGTAAAAGGTGAAGTCAGAGGAGTCCTCAGGGAAACCAAGGAAGACACAGGGGACGGCACAAGGCGAGAGCTTGTCCGCGGAGGTGTCGCGGACAAGAGCCAAGCACCCCCAGACACGAAACCGCGACGCAACACCAGGGGACCCTGTCCAAAGACTGGTCGGTGAAACCTCTGGTCGAGAGACACGTGGCCAGAGGTTCAGCTGGTGCGCGGCGTACCTGACCGCGTAGGGCCACAGAAAATGGGGGGCACAGGCGTGAGTCAGGGAGGTGCGGGCGATCTCCATGACCAGGCCTATGCGGCGCTCAGCAACCCCATTCTGCTGTGGGGACTCTGGAAGCGTCCAGGACTGACGAATGCCCTGCTCGCGACAGAATCCAGCGAGAATGCCGGAGCGAAACTCACCCCCACGGTCGGAGTGGAGACAGCTGACACGACGACCACGAGTGTCCTCAGTGGTGAGCAACCACCTGATCAGCGTAGAAGTCACCTCAGACTTCTTCGCCAGAGGGAACACTGTGGTGTAGCGGGAGAAGTCGTCAACTACCACCAGAAAGTAACGCTCACGCTCAGGGCCTAGACGAGGGGCTGGGCCCCAGACGTCCAAGTGAAGCGTCTCAAAAGGCTCGGTGGCCGGACGAAGGGAGGAGGAGTGAGGGGTGGCGCGCAGCCTACCCTCGACGCAGGGACGACACGGCGGCGCAGGCGAAGGCGGCAGCGACGGCAAGACACGTGGGAGGCCTAGGACAAGACGCTGACTAGACATAGCGCGCAGACGTGGAAGGGACGGGTGCCCCATCCGGTGGTGCCACAGAACGGTGGGGTGGGCAAGCGACCGGCAGGAGCACGACGCAGCGACTGGAACAGACGTAGGAACCTGACACGACACAGACACCTGGGGGGACGTAGCAACCTGGTGAGACGCGGGGACCCGAACGGGGGGGGGAACCGGGGGCAGTGGCAGTAGGGGGGGCTGCTAGTGCGGCCGCTGGTGCTGCTGCTGCTGCTGCTGCTGCTGCTGCTGCTGCTGCTGCTGCTGCTGCGGCTGCTGCTGCTGCTACGGCTGCTGCTGCGGCGCACGCGGGCCAGTGTGAAGAGTGTAGAGACCCGAGCCCGGCTCAGCAGTAAAGGTAGCAAGAGGCTGGTAAGAGTCTCCGTCAACACACACCGCAGTCTCTCCAGAAGGCTCAAACCACACACCCACGTGCTGACTCACGAGGGGTCGCACGCCCACCAAGTTCCGGGAGAACGAGGGGACGTGAAACCCAGTGAGAGACCCGGAGGGAGCAGCAGGACACGGTAAAGTGGTAGTGTGACGTGCAGTGACTGGTCCCGTAGTGGGATCAGCCAACGCTACAGAAACAGGCGCAGGAAGTGGTGTAAGTGTCGTGCTGTCCCGAAAGAAGCAGTGGGAGGCTCCAGAGTCCAGTGTGAACGACAGCGAAGCGTCCTGTGAGGTAGTCGCTGGTCTAGAGTCTACACAAGTACCTACACTAGCAACAGGCAACTGAGCAAGACTAGCACCTAAGCTAACAACACCAGAGTAAACAGAGTCAGAAACACTAGAGTCAACAACAGCATACATAGCATGAGGAGCACTAATCAGATCAACTAACTGCTCAGCAGACATGCCCCACAGAGCGGAGCCGTAGCGCTGAACCAGAGGAAGCCAGTCAGGAGCAGGACCGCCAACCCCGTAGGTCAACCGGACCGTGTCAGTGAGCTGAGCAAAGCACTGACCAGGGGGGTGAAAGCGGCCACAAGGGTGGCCCCGATGAGGACCTGTCTGAACCTGGTAGGGGCAGGGAGGGTAAGCAGCACCGCGCTGGGGCTGACGCAGCCCCGACCCCGGAGCCAGCTGCTGACGCTGCTGCTGCTGAGGCTGCTGGGAGGAAAGGGGCTGCTGCTGCTGCTGAAGGTGCTGCTGACGCTGAGCCTGGTACCACGCCGCTGCTCCACCTAGCGGGGCCGGCAGTACAGGAGGCGACTGACGAGCTCGAGGGTCGCCGCCACCAGCAGGTGCAGTGGAGTCACCAGCCGCTGCACGAGGGGTCTCTCCAGACGCTGCACTCCCACCACCGCCAGTCGCAACAGCACCCCCACTACCTCCGCTACCTCCGCCTCCACCTCCACCGGAACCACCTTTCTTGCCCCCCCTGCCGCGGGACCGCGACGCAGTCGTAACAGCAGCCGCAGTCGCGTCAGTAGCGGCAGTGGCAAGAGAGGCAATGAAGGTGGGTAACTGCGGGACTGTGCACCCGTGGAAGAGTGGGGGGGACACAGTACCAGAGGCGGCAGCTACCGAACGAAGGTTGCTCTCGACGTCCTTGAGTGCAGACTCAAGGACCTCGATAGTCAGCTCACTAGGGTGCTTCAGCAGAAGCGCGTCACGAACGGAGGCAAGGCGGTCAGGGAGGCTAGTGGCGATGAAATAGACAGTAATCGCCATGGGGGGAGGAAGCAGTGCAAGCTGTGCCTCAGTGCAAGCAGCGCGGTAACTAGCGTCGAGCGAGCGGAGGTGAGCGATCAAGTCAGCAGAGCGCTCAAACGAGGCAAGATCAGGTTACAGGAACGGGAGGAAAAGACGGCCGAGAGAGACAGTAGCGGGAGTAGAGTAGCGGGCCTTAATCGCAGTGAGGTACGCAGCAGCGGTGCGAACCTGAGTAAAGTGGACCTCCTCGGACTCAGGGAGGAGGCTGCTGAGTGCGATGCAGGCCGCAGCTTCACGCGACGTCCAAGCCGTCCGGTCAGCGCGCTGACGGGCAAAGCGAGCCGTAGCAGCGTCGTCAGGAGCAGGGCCTAAAGCGGTAGGCTCGGGGGGCTCGGGGAGGTCACCAGTAGCGTGTGACCAGAGGGTCTCGCCCCCCTGGACCTGACTCTCTAACAGACGACGAGCGCGAAGAAGCCAGACGGAAAAGTCAAGGGGTCTACCATCAGCGTCGAAACGAAGAACTCGCGGAGTCGCCATAGTGAGAACCGACGCGAACGAACAGGCGAGTAACAACCGGGGGGGAAGAGGACTCAGTCGCAGCGGAAGAGCGGGCTAGGGCGACGGACCAAAACGTAGGGTAGGGCAACGGGCCAGGGCCTAGGGTTGGGCGACGGGCCAGAGCCTAGGGAGGGCGACGGGCCAGGGCCTAGGGAGGGCGACGGGCTAGGGCCTAGGGAGGGCGACGCGACGGGGGAAAGGGCGGGAGCGACGCGACGGGGCAGGGCGACGCGACGGGACAGGGCGACGCGACGGGGCAGGGCGGCGCGACGGAGCAGGGCGACGGGACAGGGCAGGGCGACGCGACGGGGTAGGGCGACGCGACGGGACAGGGCGACGGGACGGGACGGGACGGGACAGGGCGACGCGACGGGACGGGACAGGGCGACGCGACGGGACAGGGCGACGCGACGGGACGGGACAGGGCGACGCGACGGGACAGGGCGACGGTACGGGACAGGGCGACGCGACGGGACAGGGCGACGGGACAGGGCAGGGCGACGCCACGGGACAGGGGGGGAACAGGCGGGCGCGACGCGACGGGGGGAACAGGCGCGACGCGACGGGGGGAACGGGCGCGACGCGACGGGGGGAACGGGCGCGACGCGACGGGGGAGATGATGCTAGGCTCGGTACTAGGCGCGGTAACAACTAAACTGGTACGAACGAGAGGTAGGATCAGGCTCGGGAGGTACGAACGGAGAACGGAGGAACGGGATCCCACAGGATCCTAACCTAGCTGATACCATGTCAGAATGAGGAATGGATGTTGCATTGATGTTGGTTGGGGTACATATGACAAACCCTAACTTCTGTACCCCCTAAGACAAACCTCACTACAGGCTACAACATTTGACAACCACTACCATTATAATTACCATTACAACTACCATTACCATTATCATTACCATTACCATTATTATTACCATTACCATTACCATTACCACTACCATTACCATTACCATTATTATTACCATTACCATTACCACTACCATTATCATACCATTACCATTACCATTACGATTATCATTACCACTACCATTACCATTACCATTACCATTACCTTTACCATTACCAATACCATTATCATTACCATTACTATTACCATTACAACTACCATTACCTTACCATTACCAGGACCATTTCCATTACCTCTACCATTACCATTACTATTACCATTATCATTACCATTACCATTGCCATTACCATTACCATTACCATTACAATTACCATTACAACTACCATCACAATTACCATCACCATTACCATTACCACTACTATTACCACTATCATTACCATTACCATTACAATTACCATTACCAATACCATTATCAATACCATTACCATTATAACAACCATTACCATTACCATTACTATTTCGATTACCATTACCATTACCAATACCAATACTATTACCATTACCATTTCCCTTACCATTACGATTACCATTACAACTACCATTACCACTACCATTACCAAAGTCATAACCATTACCATTACCATTTCCATTACCATTACAATTACCAATATTACTGCCATTACCATTACAATTACCACTACCATTACCATTCCGATTACGATTACCACTACCACTACCATTACCATTACCATTACGATTACCATTACCACTACCATTACCATTACCATTACCGTTACCATTACGATTACCATTACCATTACGATTACCATTACCACTACTATTATCATTACCATTATTATTACCATTACCATTACCACTACCATTAACATTATCAATACCATTACCGTTACCATTACCATTACAACTACCATTACCTTACTATTACCATTAGCATTACCACTACCATTATCATTACCATTACGATTACCATTACCACTACTATTACCATTATCAATACCATTACCATTAAGATTACGATTATCATTACCATTACCACTACCATACCCATTATCATTATCCTTACCATTACCATTACCATTACGATTATTATTACAACTACCATTACCATTACCATTATCATTACCAAAACCATTACCACTAGGATTACCATTACAACTACCATTACCATTACCATTAACATTACCATTACGATTACCATTACTACTACCATTACCATTACAATTACCATTACAACTACCATTACAATTACCATCACCACTACCATATTACCATTACAATTACCACAATCATTACCATTACCATTACCATTACTGCGGAGATAACTGCTGCAATGGGAGCTAGGCTACGGGCTAGGCACGTGTGCTCGTGTGATCTCTGCGTTTGTTCACTTAGTCGTTTCCTTGTGTTCACGCTGCTTGCTAGTTAACGGGGAGAATTGGCAAGAGTTTCGCTAGGAAAACATGACAATAATGGTAGCAACAACATTGGCATCACAGACTACATCAGTGCTAGCTAGGCTGCTGGTCGACCTCCAGCGTAGCACGGTCGACCGCGCTCCAGCGCAGCAGCGCTCGCACCGCTCCAGCGTTGCAGAATAGCGGTTCGCCAACGTTGCAAGTCCACGGTGTGCTAGCGCTGCAGCAAGTCGGCTGCACAACGTTGCACCCTCAGGACAACGGTGCACCTGCTTCACAGGTGCGCGCAGCTGGTTGGCGCTCCACACCTTGTCACGAGCACAGCGCAGATGCCTGGCAGACTCCACGCCAGTGACTGCGCCCACCAGCCACGTCGACCTCGGGATACCGCCCCCGAGGTCGGCCTCGTATACTCCACCCTAACGACACTCGCACACGTCGCCTGGGTATTTCGGTCGACCGGGCAACCACGCCTGGCCGACCAGCACAGTCCGTAGCCGGCCACGCATGCCCGGCGTCCCCAGTCCGGTGTCTGGGCGCCCAGGACACCTTCCGAACCCCCAGGTCGGCGTCCCTCCTCCCAGGACGCCGACCTGACGCCCAGGTCGGTATGTGGGCCCCCCGGGACGCCCAGGTCGGCGTCCGGACCCCCAGGACGCCGTGCATACGCCTAGGTCGGCGTCTGGCCTTCCAGAAGGCCGTACAGGCGCCCACGACGTCGACCAGGCGTCCGGGTAGTCGTGGCGACGCCCAGCTCGGCGCCCAGCTTCCCAGGACGCCGCCCAGGCGTCCGGGACGCCATCCAGGCGTCCAGGGCGGCGTCCTCCTGCTCGGCGCCCTCCAGCGAGGCGCCCTCCAGCTTGGCGCCCTTGTAGTGGCCCCCGTGCCCACTGCTGCAGGTCGGCTGCAACCCCCGCACATCCGACCACAAGGTTGGCTCCGCCCAAGCGAGGACGGGGCCTTACAACGCTCCCGTTGACACTCCCCTGCCGCGTTCACGCTTGGGTCCCTAGCCCACACGGCAGTACAGCTCCGAGAATAGCCCGTCGGCGTGCACCCAACACACAGCACGCCGGTCACCGCACCAGCCATGCAAGAGGGCATGGCACCTACTGCTGCACGTCGTTGTCGCCGTCGCCCACGTCGGCCAAGCGCACCTGGCCGATTGCGATGGAGCACCGGTTGAAGGCCGGATAGTGCAGCGCCTTCGTGAGGAAGTCGGCTGGCTGCTCAGCGGTCGGGATGTACTGCAGCGAGAACTTCCCGCGCTTCACCATGTGTTGCAGCCAGGCCTGTCGCCGCTCCATGTGCTTGAGGTTGCCTGTCAACCCCATGCCCTCGGCGAGCGTGATGGCTGACTTGTTGTCCACGCGCAGGACAGTCGGCTTCCCGAGGTCCAGCTGCCGGAACTCAGCGAGGAGGAAGCGAAGGCGGCGTCCCTCCTTGCCAGCTTCAGTGGCCGCCACGTTCAGCTCCCACGCTCCCACGCTCCCACGTGCTCCTCGTCGATGAAGCGCCTACGTAGCTTGTCGGCGTAGCCCTGCTGGTGGAGCCACAGCTTCCCCGCCGACCTGTCGCGCACAATCTCAAGCCCAAGGTACTTTTGCACCGGCAAGATCTCGCGCAGCTCGAAGGCGGCTTCCAGCAGCTCCTTCAGCTCTGTCAGCATCGCGGCGCTGCTGGTGGCGGAAAGCAGGTTGTCAACGTAGACCAGCACCCAGCAGGCCACTCCGTCCTTGGCGCCTTATCGACTTGGCTCTTCTTCCACCCGGCGCCGACCATCACATCGTTGAGCGCCAAGTACCACAGCAGCGGCGACTGCTTCAGCCCATACAGGCTCTTCAGCAGCCTGCATACCCGGCCGGATCCGTCGTTGAAGTAGTCCGGGTGGTGCATGTACAGCACCCGGTCGAGCTTGCTCTGCAGGAAGGCGTTCTTCATGTCGAGCTGCATCAGGTTGAGGTAGAGGACGGCGACGATGCTGAGGAAGATCCTCAGCGTGACGTAGCTGCCCACCGGCGCGAATGTCTCGTCGTAGTCGGCGCCGTACACCTGCGCGAAGCCCTTGACGACCAGCCTCGCCTTCTCTCGCTCGACGGTGTCGTCGATGTGGTACTTCGTCGTCAACACCGACCGGTTCTTCATGATGTTCACTCCCGGCGGGC